AGCTGTCCAGCCGTCTTCAGTGAAGTATTTCTGGACACAGTCAAGGTGAACTTCCTCGTCGAGGATTGTCTCTGGAATCCTGGAAGGTATGGTTTCCACCTGGTCCTCACCTGTAAAAATTACTGAATAAGTGTTCTGAACCTGCCATCAGATGGCTTTAAGGTACAACAGAATGCTATGAATCTGAACAAGGGGAACTTATTTCTAGGGCTCAGGTTTATTTTGTGAATTGAACACTCAATATTCTTACAGAATGTAGCTGTAGTTGCAGCCCTATAGGTGATATCAGACACCTTCGTACTACACCTTAGATAGCGACTGAAGTTGCAACAAAATAGGAAATTTAAGCATAAATAAAGGTAAATCTCACAACTCACCGAGTAGCAGTTTCCCCTGCTGAACCTCACTTAGCAGGCCCTGAGGAACTAAGCAACTTAGGATCCTGAGCTCCTTTTCCTGAGGAGGCAGATCGCGAAATGGCTGCAGTGTTGCTGCTGATTTGTGGGGTCCCTGCCGCCGTCGTGGAAGCCCAATAACGGTTTTCTCCGCCCCTTTGGGTCGACCTCGTGACTTCACCTTAGCGGGCACTTTCAGCTTTCCGAGGCGTTCGCGCATGTAGTCTGAAGGCCCGGCGCTGCTTGCAGGGGCCAAGGTATTCTCGCGTGGCTGTGCCTTTCTCACTTCATCAGGAGTTTCGCATGCACCTGCATTATGGGCACGCTGCTCTTTCTCAGGAGTGGTATGAAGTGGTTCTGCCCCGGTATGGCTTAAAGGTGCTTGAGGCAGATCTGGTTGATCATGTGAATTATTCTGATCTGCAGTTTCAGACGTGTCCCAATCCTCACCTGATGCAGCTTTGGGTGACTCTGCATTCTCTTCTACGGACACAGTCAGCTCCAGCTGGCGTCTGACTTGCTCTGGTGATGAAGGGGATGAGGCTTCATGACGCAACACTTCCACGATTTCAATTTCGCGCCCTTGCTCCCATGCCTCAGAGAGTGCCAACAAAACTTTTAGACGGCCCTGGTATCTTTCACCTGTTTCTTCTGCAGCAAGTTGAGCTATGTACTTGCATGTAGGAAATACCTCCCTGTATTTCTCATGCTGCGACATTGGCCTCCGAGGTTTTGCAGCCTGCTCCGAAATGGAATGTTCAGTTGTGCACTTCTCTTGAGAAAGGAAGGCTCTCTGATGACAGTAGTAATATGCCTTGGACCACCTTTTTAGAAAAAGTTTGTCATCAAAGAGACTAATGTTCAGAGTCCGCCTAACTGCAAACACATGCCGGCATGGCAGTCTCATAGCGTTCCAAAAGGAACAATTGCAGTTAGTTTTTGTTGTTGACGTGTTGCCAGACGACGCCTCGAATGTGAACACATCTGCTTTTTGGTCACTTGGTACTCGCTTGGCTGACAGGTAGATCTGCTCCCTTACAAGCTTAAAGGCATAGGGAGTCAATGATTCCTGATACATAGCTTCTTCAGGGCTAGAAGGTGCTTTGCAAGGTCTTTTGGATATGCTTGTCAATGCTCTGTGGTCACGTTCATCGCTCAAGGCGTTCAATACTGTGAAAAGTGAGCACACAAACTCTTCAAGGGAGCTATTCTTTTTTATAACACTTTTCAGTTTTGCGTTCAGACTTTCAATTCTGTTGTTGGTAGTGTTGTTAAAGTTTTCAGACATAAACTTGGGTCCAGTGTACCACTCATCCTTGATGGGACGCCAGTTTTTGTCATAGTAAGAGCGGATCTCTTGGCAAACATTATTGTCAAATTCCAGTTGAAGCTCCTCAAATTTTTCACTCGATCGTGACAGGACCATCTTCTGGAGCAGTGCCAGGGCTTGGTCCCTTTCCTCTGCAGTGATGTTCATCTTGTTGCAGGCAATCTCGCGTCGAAAAGTCTTTAAAGTGTGGAACACACAGATGAGCACCTTCGACTGCGGGAAGCTTTCTTTGAGAAGGTCACGCTCCAAAAGGTCCTTGTCTGCCATGACACACTTTACTTTTGGCCAAGATGGGTGCAGTTCCTTGAACTTTTCCAACATCCATTTGATAGTGGGTGCAGACTCATTCACAAGAATTGCAACACATACTGTCTCTGTGTCTCCATTGGAGTCTTCAACGTGCATCACATAGACTGGTGTTCGTATTTCTAGAAGCTTGTAGGTGGCATCAATTCCTAGGAATTCTGGGTAGGCATCCATATTTGACCGCATAGACTCATTGGACAGCAAAATTCCTTGGAAGTTTTCCCCATCAGCAAGGATGTGGTAGTCTGTACCTGTAGAAATAAATTTCATGGTCTAAATGTAAAAGATTTGGCCGACTGTACATACGAGTTTCTCTGAAGCCCACTGGAAAACCCAGATGCAATTATTTAAAAACTTGTGCTACAATATCAGGTGCTTACCATGCTCATTTTGCAGAAGAGCTGCAGTCTTAATGAGGTCATTCCTTGTCTGTGGTCTGAGGGAAGAGGCCGCATTGCTCAAGTCTTTGAGCAGGACAAGTTTCCCCGTCTTTTCTTCTATCCTTTTCTTAACCAACTTCTTGTTGGCATGCAAAGCCAAGAGCTGTGTGGCTTCCTCCTTGGCCCCTGGTTCTCTTAATGCTCTGGTTTGTGGCAGGTGGCTGTAGAGTAACTGCAATAAAATAAACTTTTCATTCAATGTTAAACTGAACTACATATGCAATTATAGGTTAACTGCATTATGCAATGTCAAGCTCACAGAGTGAAGCAAACAAGTGCAGACAACATTCTGCATATATGGCATCTAGGTTCTTAGCACAAGCAAGCTCACTTCAATCTCACCTTATCATGCTTGTAACTGTAAATCTGTGTTTCCTATATATGGCTCGCATGTGATGTCAAGGACACAGTTCCTGAATGTAGTAGCACTGTAGAATGGCGGCTTTGATGACAAGCAAGTTGCAGTTAATCTGCCTCAATGTAATAATGATGCAGCAGGAATTCCTCTGAGTGTGAATAAGAAATGAACCTGCATGTACTGCTTTGATCCCATTAATTTGACATCGCAAAACTTCGCATCCCCTGTGCTGGTGCTACCAGCTCAATGAGAATTGAGCGAGAACATTTTGCGCGATCAAGTAAGCACGTCAAACATTTCGTCAAAAGTATATTTCAGTGGTGCATGTCACCCTGTATAACCTCAAAACTCAGGTTTGTTTCTGTGAAAAAACAGAACTGAACTTCACTAACCAATATGAACAGGTAACAGCAAAAGCTGTATTGGCTTAATTTAACAACACATGGTGAGGGATGAAGGACAGGGCATTAAGATACTGTCGCACACTTTTAAGGATGCTTAGGAACTCCATACCTTCGATAACTCATGGTTGTGGTCCTCATTCATTTCAATAACCTCCAGGAAGTTCCCATCGTCAGAGGCCCTGCACTTCACGAACGCCGGACATCCAGCCTGAAAGGTGCTGAAAGTGATCCGTTGTCACATGCTCAATGTCTCTCAGGAAACAATCGTCTAAATGCATGATGTGTACAACGCAACCACGTCGCTGACCATGGTGGATTGGCAGCACAGAAAGAAACACAAAGGAAACAATGACCAGTGCTGGCCCTCACCTGGTATCTCTTTCCCCCTTGCTGCGGCTCTTGAAAGACTTGCCCCCCTTGATACAGCAGTAAACCACCTGATACATTCCAAGTCGTTCGTTCAGAAAACGCTTCACTTTGGTCTTCGCCGCTGTGACAGTTCGACAGTCACGTTTGTAAAACTGCACGAACTTCTCTTCACTGTATCCTTTCACAGCAGCTTCCAGTTCCCTGAACGTTGGAAATTTGTCCCCAACTTTCATTTTGCTGCCAGCCATCACACGAGCTGCGGAACGGGAACACTTGACTGGCGCCGCACGTGCTGCGGAACGGTCACCACAGAACACCTGTAACACGCTGACTGAAGAGACGGGAGAATGGCGCCACACAAGTAGGACGGATAAGACTATGGATAAGACAGACTCACAGAACACCTGACAGACTCGGACGGACTCCAAGAACTGGATTGGAATGGATTGATTTGTACTACTTGCATCGAAATCGACCCGATGGCGAAAACTTTTTTTTTTTCCTAATCAAGCGATATAATAGCTGCGTGTAAACCACGGAGGAATAAACATTTCCGTGGTATAAACCAAGCTTGAGTAGGCGAGAAAGTGCAACCCGTGCAACGTCTGATGTAACCGGTGCAACGTCTGCGCGTCCAACTACAAACTCGTTGACGAAAACTTTTTTTTTCTCGGATCCGCGCGTCTAAGAGGTCAGTCGTGCGAACTGCTTGAAAACGACGGACGGGCAGGTGGAACTTGAGTCGCTTGAGTGAAAACTTGCGAGAAAGCGCACGTCGGACGTACCTTTAGCTTTTAGTATTCTGGTACGTCCGAAGTATCTTTAGACTCACGGTTTCGGGTACGTCGGACGTACCTTTAGCTTTTGGTATTCGGGTACGTCCGACGTACCTTTAGACACAGCGAATAAACAAACCCAACGCATGGTTCGCGGCAATATGGATGGCGCCAGAAGACGTTAAAAAAAGTTTGAAACACTAAATGTTCAGATAACAAATGTCATACCTTATAAAAGTAGGTTTACTAATATAAGCTATTGTTTAATAATAATTTAACTTGTGGCGCTATGTGATATACAAAACACAACATGAGTACAAAAATAATAAGTGCTGAAACATGTCCTAAAAATGTGTTTCGAACCTCTAAAACACAAATAACGACGCAAAAAACAAATAGCTAACAAAATATAGAGACACCAGTTTAGTTAATTGAAATTTCACCATGGCACCACATGTAAAGTGTCATGCTTTCACTTCGTGCGCTTTACTAACTCACCGGCCTCCGAGACTGACGGGGCTTTCTGAGCGAGGCGAGCCCAGCCAAGCCCAGCAGAGCCCGAGAGCAAGTTTTCGAAATATCCGGCGGGCCGGTGTTTTGTGACAGCCGTCGCCTCCGCAAGTGAACTTCCTACTCGTCCTCCACAACTCCCCGTTTTCCTCGCTGGTTCGAGGGCCGTGCGTGCCATGGAAAACCCGTGCGTCCAAATATCGCCCGTCGCCATCACGGGAACCGTGGTAGTCGAGCATCTACAGAGCAACGGCGCACCGGCTCGCAAGGTGACGCACCAGAACGCCGAGGCGTCTCTGTACAGGAACGAATTTCGGGACATTTTACTCAGGGTGAGCTTGGGACCGCGCTCGGTCGTGTACTCGCTGCAAAACGCCGTCGTGCACAAGAAGTTCGTGCGGGAAGGTAAGATGTCCGTCGCCCTCAAGGACGAAAAAGTGCACCTCTACTTCTCCAACTGTCCGCCCAGCAAGCTCGGCACGTTCGTGAAGTTTCTGCACGCCAAGAAGGCGACCCAAGAGCCCGCCGTGTCTGCTCGCGAACGCTTGAAGTCGGGCAAGCCGAGAGTTATCGAAGAGATCAGTCCGTTGATGCTACGCGACGCCAATGCGACCCAGTCGCAGGGTCTGAAGAGACCTCTTTCCAAGGACGACCAAGCTACGCCGACGGGAAAGAAGAGCCGACCAATGGGACCTAGCCACAGAACACCCACCACTAGCACTGCGAAGGTTGGTGTTTTATACCATGCCCTCCTTTTCACTCGTTAAAGAGGAAAGTTTGGCTTGTTGGAACTGCGAACAGGACAGTAAGAATGTCGGAACGCAAATAACAGAGCTTGACAGTAAAAACGCAGCGTTTTTACTGACTTCGCATTCCTTTTTCAATGCTTCATCTTTATTTTTTTACTGGAAAATCTGGTGCTGGGAAAGTGTGGTTTACACAACACCATGTAACAACCCACTTTACCTACTCCAAACAGGTAAAACTTGACACCCCCTTCCCTCCCATCTGATTTTTTTATTTATATGATAGACACCCAGTGAAAGTGACGCAGAAAAAAAATTATTTTCAGTTTAAATGCTCGTTCGCACTGCACTAGAAAACATTTCACACAGCTACAATCTCTGAGAAGAGGTACGGATGTATGTGCTCTCTTTTTAGTGTTGTTAATTAAGAACGAGGTACATAGCTTGGCAACATGTCCTGAGCACAGTGCTGCTTTTTTTCTTTTACTGCATCGATGAGGCATGCATCTGCAAGATGTCGGGGTACCAAGAATAAAACACAGCTTTTTTCCGAAAGGTGGGGAAGCAAATACAAAATAGGAGAGTGTAAGGGCATGTACAGAATAACATAGCTAGTGTAGATGTGAAACGAAAAAGGTTGTGCAGTGAAGAATTTCTTTCTAGCGAAACCACTCATGAATATTGTTGTACGTTACACTAGCTTTACCACATGTTTTCCACTGAGTTTTGCTGTGGTTCCTTTCTGCTACTAAAGCAAGTTCATGGTTCTATATTTTTGCGGAGCAAGATTGTTGTACTCAGAATGTTAAAGGAGATGTTCTGTCGTTTAAAAAAAAAAGCATAGTTTTCTGAAAATCAGTCTTGTATTTCACATTTGCTTGCTTTCAGCCTGGGAAGAGCTTGAATCCCGTGCAGCTTACCTTGGAGCAGAAAACGGTTCTCAGTGCAGTCCTGGCCGGCCGCAGCGTGTTCTTCACCGGCGGTGCAGGCACGGGAAAGTCGTACCTTTTGAAGCACATCTTGTCGTCGCTACCACCACAGGATGCATTTGCCACGGCTACGACCGGCATTGCAGCTGCCCAGATTGGTGGCACCACGCTGCATTCATTTGCTGGTAACTGTTCGTTTTTCAGTTACACTTCTGTATTGCTGAAACTGCATGTGGCATGTTTAAGCAGAGTTTTAATAATGCTTTTCTAGAATGCTATTCAATGCATAATTTAAGCAGCGCACATATTGTGTGCCAATGTTAAACCTGTGAAAATAGGTAGCAATGTGCACCGATTTTCTTGAACAGAACCAGTTGTGATAGCTATCATTTACGTAAATCGCACCACATATAGTTGCTGAGATCAGAAGAGCAGCTACTTTGTTATGACTTTAACTGAATAATTCTCTGGGGTTGTGTGGTGTCATCTTGTTTTCCTGTCTCTGACTTCATTGGCACTTTAATTTTCAATGATGCTTGTGCAGCGTATTACCTGAATGGGATGTACAGCGAAACTTCATTTGAACAAACTTCAAGTGACCCCAGAACGAAAGTGAACTGAAATAGCTATGTTGCAGCTTGTTGTCAGTAGCTAAATAAAACAGCAGTTATTGAAGTGCAATTTCATTTGCAATTCTACTTATTTGAACATGAATGTCTGCATATTTAGCATAATTTGTAAAATTTAGTTATCATTTCTGGGGTGGGGGGAGCCTGCGAACTTAGGACTGCAATGGTCATGATTTGAGTAACTCACTCTTTACCGTCACAAACATTCTCAGCCAAAACTCTTTGCGGGCTGCAAAGGGCTTACCCTTTACCAAGTACATTGGGGATTTTTTTCAGCTGAAATTCCTGATGCCTCCTTTACAAGGGTTTTCCCGTGGAGGCGGAAATGTTGTAGGCCCGTGTGCTCAGATTTGGGGGCACATTAAAAAATCCCAGGTGGTCAAAATTTCCGGAACCCTACCAAAACACCACAATTTTCTTTTGAAGCAATAAAGACTTTAGTTGTAAGCGCTCATGCTGTGCCCTCTCTTGTCTCCGTCATATTAACGCTTGAATTTTATAAACATGCCCCATAAGTTGTTGTCATTTAGTGAAAATGTGGCACAACTCGACGTTTAAGACGCACTGTTTCAACGCAATGAAGGACGCATGAAACAAACACAAAAGTATATGCAGGACGACCGCAAACTGACTGCTGCGATTGGTACCTCTTTGTGTGTGAGCAGCACGTTTCATGGCAAACGCGGCCGCTGCAGCAAGCGAAGGGACCGTCGTGCTCGCTATAACTTAGTGCAAACTTGGGGGGAAGCACAAAATCTAGAAACCACCCTGCTCCCCCCCCCATCAAGAAATAAGTGCGCACCTCATTGCATCATCTTACGAGCGATGACGAAAGTGCGTCAAAATTCGCATGCTCTAAGAGCAACCAGCGGTATGGTGGTGTATATAAATTGCTTGCCTTTAGTAAGCTGAACAGTGTACGCTTTGTGGCCTAGTGACTTTGTGCCGTGCGCTGTGAAGCGAGATGTCGTAGGCTGGACGCCCGGCGATGGAACTCTTTCTGCTAACTTTTTCTTCGCAATCTTGTTAGTGCATATCTATAATGTCATATCTGTGACAAAAATACATCAGTGGAGCCGTGGTAGACCTCGGCATAAAACACTGTCGTGTTTAAATGTTGAATTGGCTATGCTTAAATGTCATGCAGTTCAGGTATCACGTTTAAAAAACAAATATCAAGGGTGTACACCTGCAAGGGGTGACACTTCCAGCCTGACCTCAAGGATTGTCAGCACCCCTAACCCTCTGGTGATTTACGCCAGTGTCCCACTCTATATAACATGTGCCCTTTCCAACAGGCGTAGGAACAGGCACGGCCACAGTGGAAGTGATGCTGCAGCGAGCGATGCGGCCACCCTGGGTGAATTACTGGCGGCGCTGCAAAGTGCTGGTGGTAGACGAGGTGTCTATGCTCGACGGCCGCTTCTTCCACAAGTTGGAGCGGGTGGCCCGGCTAGTGCGCCGCAATGATCGTCCTTTTGGTGGCATCCAGCTGGTTCTCTGCGGCGACTTTCTGCAGCTCCCACCAGTCTCTCGGAAAGAGGAACCCGCACCGGTCTATTGTTTTCAGGTGTGGCTTTGCACTGTTTCCCTGCAGTATGCATGCATGGCATAGATTGATACTTATAAGGTGATGCGACGTACGATGACATGTCAATTTAAAGTCTTTGTATGCAGTCTGTTGACGGCCTTTCCTGATAATGTAATCTTGTTGACGCAGCCTTGGGTAGTGCTGGAAAACCTCTTTTGTGGCTGATACGTGAACCTATTTTCTTACTCCATTAGGCCCCATCATTTGAAAGAATACGTAAGCTTCCTTCACTTGAACTCTCTTTTCAGACAGCAACAAACGGGGGGCAGGTAAAGGTTTCAGACCGCAAATGGTAACAAACGCTGCATATTTAACAAATTTCACACATTAGTGGTCTGCTTAACACTTTACCATGTATATTTATGTTGAAGTGCATTAATAATAATATCGGGGATTTTATGTGCCAAAGCCACAACATGATTACGAGGCGTGCCGTAATGGAGAGCTCCAGAAATTTTTATCGCTTGGTGGCATACCTAAATTTAATTTCACTGGCCTCTCGCGTTTTGCCTCCATTGAAATACAACAGCCGTGGTCGAGATCAAACCCTTAACTTTCAGATCAGCAGCCGAGCACTATAACCACTGTGTCACTGTGGCGCTTATTTTGAAGTGTATTGTTTTCTTGAAACTACTTATGCATTGAAACCTTGAAACAACGAATAAACTGAGGGCTTCACTTGGTTTTTCAGTGTGCATTCCTATGTGCGCATTTTGTGTCAAGTTAGCGGCCTTTGGCACCGTCCTTTGAGCGACGATGGAATTTGTGGATTCTAAAACCTGGCCTGTCACGGTGCTGTAGTGGTTATGGTTATCGAATGCCAACCCAAAGGTCGAGAGATTGAATTTCCGTCACGGTGGCTGCATTTCTGTGGCGGCGAAGTGCTAGAGGCCCACAAACTTAAACTCGGGTGCACTTCAAAGAACCCATGGTACCCAAATTTACCGGAACACTCCACTACGGCATTTCTTATAATGACATCATCTTTGGGATGTGAAACCCCAACGATTATTTTATCATGCGAAACCCTGCAGACGTCCGCTTGGCGCCAGTGCATCAACATCACCCTGGAGCTTAAGCAGGTGCACAGGCAGAGTGATCCTAGGTTCATCTCTCTGCTGCAGCAAGTGAGGGTAGGCTCCTGCCCCGATTGGGTCGAGGAAGCGCTCAAGAGGACGGCCAGTCGCTCTCTTGACACAGGTGCGCTCATCTGTCGTTTCCCGCTACGTATGCATTACTGCTGCACAGTACGTAGCAAAGGTAATGGAAACCGAGACGGGAAAAATTTACCATGGCTGCGCAGATACAATACAGAACTTGTGTCACGATATGACTAGTATATATTGGTATAAATTTAAACCTTGACCATTTGTCTAAAGAAACGCAATAATAGAATACAGTATTTACGATTGATGATGCCGCAACGTGTTTTTTTAGTATGAAAATGCTTTCCGTCAAGCTCCAAGACAAACTTTTGGGGTGTATTTCACGTAATTGTCATGCACATTTTGATAAATTGCTGCAATGTGGGGCTACTTCACTATGTTTGGGCAGCCAGGAACAAGCCAGCAGGAAGCTCAAGGCATTTGCACAAACTGGCCAAGTTATGCAACTAGCACACAGTACTCATAGCAAATCTCATCTCCCTGTGTTGGTGCGAACCACAGGCAGTCTTGTACATATGACGTCGAGTTTACAGCAAGCCTGTAAATTTTCAGCATGCCCTCAAAGAGAGAGTCCTTAGAAGAAACCGAGTATTGGCATTCTCAAAATCAGCAGTGATGTCAATTCTTTCCAGACTACTTGTTTGTGCCGATAGATATATGCTGTTGCCCTCCATCCTGTTACTGGTCCTAAAAAAAAAAAGTTGTCCTCAAGAATAGGGGGTGGTGGGTAGCTTCATGCTACCCACCACCAATATGTTGATTTTTTTGCCGTCAATCTTGCTGTCATTGTTTATATGAAGTTCAAATCAATAACATCTCTGAGGGAATTGTATGTTGTTGCAGGCAAGCATTGTTGATGAACGCGGTTTGAACGGAGATGAAACGAGCCAGCCATCTCCGTTGCAAGGAGGGTGCATGCAATATAACCTCACTTTGTGTGCGAAGCCTGCCATCGATTGCTCTTCAAGCGGAGAGGAAAAGGTTTGCCCATCTTTCGTTGGGCAAAGGAGTATAAAAGGAGCCAATGTACAGCGGAGGGCTGTGTCGCTTGAGCAGCAACGGCAAGCTTTGCTCATAACAGGGCGGTTGCTACTGCTGGTGTGCGCACTATCTTGGCAGGCATGAGCAAACGGCCCACTTTGCGTTCGCACGACCAACAGCGTGAAAACCGCTCTTTGCTCCCTGGGGTGGCAATATTTCCTTAATGCAGTGTTTTTTTCAGTTACATGAGATCAGCATTACAGCTTGTGCTCACACTCATTCCTTCATCTTTGTGGTGAAACTTATATAGTATTATGCTTCCATTTTAGGTGACATAGTGGCAACTCGACTAAGCACACACACGGATGATGTGGAATTCATGAACCAAAGGTGCTTTGACCAGCTGCCAAGCACACCGCGCATATTCAAAGCCATTGACTCGGAAGGTGCGTCAACTGACTTGCTTGAAGTGTGTGCACCCGCCACCCTGAGCCTCAAAGTGGGCACACAGGTTATGCTGACCAAGAACACTCAAGTGAAAGCTGGCCTCGCCAATGGCTCGCGTGGAGTCGTGGTGGGATTCGACTCTGCATCCGGTAAGCTCATTGCAAAGCAGTCATAGCTTGATTGCATACATAATATCGATAAAAGACTGGGCGTGCTAACACAGACTCTAGAGAGAGAGAGAGAACTCAAGACCCCACAAACAACTTCTCTCTTGCATTCGTGTTTGCATGTCCAGGCTTTGAACATGAATGCGTATCAACTAGCTCAGCTCTATACGTAACTACAGTAGACTCTCAGTAAGCAGAACCTGAAGGGACCGGGAAAATATGTTCCATTTAACAGGGGTTCCGTTTACTGAGAGGTGAACATAGGTGCGGAATACAAGCCCGAAACCAAGAATTGCAGAGGCAATAGTTCTGTTTAAGCAGTACATAGTTTCGTTTAACAGATTTTCATTTACTGAGAGTCTATGGTACCTTTCACAGAATGCTTGATTACTATAGACACATATTGGAAGCTTGGCTCGTGCCATTTAGTGCCATAGTGCATGTCATTAGTAGAATTAATACTATCGCCCATGCTGATAGCAAGCTAGCATACTATATGGCAAAACTAGCACAGTGGAAAAGATAGGGACAATCCTATCTTATAATAGCAACTCAGATAGAAAGAAGCACACAGTGTTTTGTGTCTGTCTCAACATTCTTTTCCATTGGGCTAGTTTATCTCTTAATGTATTGCCAACATGCCCAACAGCCTATCAATTTATTTATTTATTTATTATTTATTAGAATACCCTCAGGGCCCGTAGGGCATTACAGAGGGGGTGGGTACAACATATATAACACACAAGAAAAAAGACAAAATAAAGAAACAAGTATCAGATGCGCAAATCAGGAAGGCAACATAAGTCAACTAAAAATGTATAAGAATTCAAGCACATACAAGACAAAGATAGACAATGGAAACTGCGTATAGTTACAAACATTGCTGAGAAATTGCAGTCTTGAATAACAAAGGGTCTGTTATTGTTACAACGGAAGAGGGAAGGTGGTTCCAATCGGCGGCTGTTTTCGGTAAGAAGGCTGCTGAAAAGAATTTGGTGCGGCAAAACGGAATGGCAACCTTATGCTGATGATCAATGCGCGATGAGTGGTATGACGGTTGTGAAATGAGGTCTCGCTTCATTGATGGATTGTGAAAAAATATCTTATGAAAAAAATGCAGTCGCGCCAGTTTCCTCCGGACAGTTAAATTGGGTTGGTCAAGGTTAGATTTCATTTCTGATATGCTAGCAGTACGGGAATAATTAGAACAAATGAACCGAACTGAGCGGTTCTGAACAGATTCTAACGCGTTAATTAAATTTTGCTGCACGGGATCCCATATAGCGGACGCATACTCAAGCTTTGGGCGAATTAGTGATCGGTATAATAGAATTTTGAGGGACAGCGGTGCGCGAGAAAAGTTGCGGTGTAAGTATCCTAGCGTTCGGTTAGCGTTATTACAGATGTAGGTAACATGCGTGTGCCAAGATAGATTGTTGGTAATGTAAACGCCGAGGTACTTATATGAAGAGACATGCTGGAGGGGAATGGCGTTAATTCTGTAGGTACAGGGGGGAGAAATAGATCGCCGGGTTATTGACATGCATTTAGATTTGTTAGAGTTGAGAGTCATAAGCCATTTATTGCACCAGGTTGAGACAGTGTCAAGGTCTGACTGTAGAAATTGGTTATCATATTCATTGTTTATTTCGCGGTAAATTACACAATCATCTGCAAATAACCTTATAGCAGAGTTAATGCTGTCTGGGAGATCATTAATATATATAAGAAAAAGTAAAGGGCCTAATACGGAACCTTGGGGTACGCCGGATGTTACTTTAGAAAGAGGTGAGTTATAGCCATTAGTTGTTACAAACTGAGTGCGATTAGTCAGAAAGCATTCAATCCATTTAAGAATGTTCGGGTCAATGTTTAAGGCACTAATTTTCAGGAGGAGTAATTGGTGAGGTACTTTATCGAAAGCTTTTTGAAAGTCAAGAAAAATGCAATGCACAAGTGAGCCGCGATCTAAAGCCGATGCTATGTCATTAGTAAAATAAAGAAGTTGGGTTTCACATGAGTAACTTTTTCGGAATCCGTGCTGGTAGGGAGTAAAAAAAGAATTTGATTCTAGGAATGAGACAAGGTTGGAGTAAATTATATGTTCTAACATTTTACAAGGAACACTGGTTAGGGAAATTGGTCTGTAATTGAGAGGAGACTGTGTGTTACCAGATTTGTGCAGAGGGACCACCTTCCCCACTTTCCAGTCAAGCGGCAAAGTGGAGGTCTGAATAGATTGCGAAAAGATTAAGGACAAGTAAATTGATGAATACAATGCAGTGTTTTTTAGAAACTTTGAGTTGATTTCATCTACGCCACAAGAAGAGGATAACTTAAGCTTGTGAATTAAATTTTGCACTCCAACGGCATCAACGGTAACAGGATACATGGGTAAAAAATCACGACTAGGCATTTGCGGCAACGCAGAAGCAGAACAACTTGAAAAAGAAGTAACAAAAAAATCATTTAATGCAATGCAACACTCTTCACAGCGAACTGGCTGCCCGTCTGAGTTCGTAAGCGAAATGTTTTTCTTTTCCCTAGGTTTAACAGTTTTCCAAAACTTAGAAGGGTTGGTTACAAGAATTGAGGGAAGGGTATTATTAAGAAAAACGCGCTTGGCTTCCTTGAAAGCTGCTCTGTATTCGGAAAGGACAGATTTGTACACGTGCCAACGGGCTAACGAATTAGTCTGCTTTGCCTGACGGAACAACCGTTTCTTTTTATTCCGCAATTTTTTTAAGTCAGTTGAGAACCAAGGGGGGCGTTGGCGACCCTTGATAACGTATGTGGGAATGTATCGCGTGATTAAAGATTCAACTTTCATTTTGAACAAGTTCCAGTTTTGTTGAACGCTGCGATCAAAGAAGCCATTAGCAAAGCTCTCAAAATTCGATTCAAGTTCACTGTTGATTGAGTCATAATCGCCGCGTGAGTAGTCTCTTATTGTTTTCCAATTGTTTGACTGACGCCTTAAAGAACCTGTTAGATTGAAGTGCACGAAACAATGGTCACTTATGCCTGGGATATATGAAATAGAATGGACAAGGTCAGGTACAGTGGTGAGAATCAGATCAAGAACATTTGATGAATTGGGGCCCATTCTTGTTGGTTGCGTTACGAGTTGGGTAAGGTTAAAGTCTTCGCACAGTTCCACGAAATGTAAACTGTCGGCTGAAAGTGAGCTTAATGAACAGGAAGGAAGTGACCAGTTTATTTTCGGGTAGTTAAAATCGCCTAGAATAAAAACAGGTGTATGCGGGTGCCTTTTGACAATATCATTCAAAGCATCATGCAGTTGCTCGCAAAACACTGGCGTCGCACTCGGAGGGCGGTAACAGCCACAAAATATGACATTTTGATAGTTGACATGGAGGGAAACACAGACAAATTCTAAAGGTGATGCTATTACTATATGGCTAGAAACTATATAATCAGCTACTGCTATAAGTACACCACCTCCTGGCGATTCTTCTCTATCACATCTGTAAATGGTATAATTATTTTCACAATCGAACAGCTCTACACTTGCAATGTTAGGGGTAAGCCAGGTTTCCGTTAACACTACAACATCGGCGGCGCAGTCATCAAAAATTGAAGATAATGCATCCCGTTTGTTAAGAACACTTCGTACGTTAGAATATAAAACTGAGTAGTTACGATAAGTAGCCGAGGGGTGAACTTTGTTAGGATAAGAGCGTATCTTCGTCGGCATGCGTAGTGGAGGACGAAGCTTCTGATGAGTTCTGCGCATTTGTATGCAGCTCACAAACGCTGTCGGTCACCGGAGAGTACACAAAGCACTTTTTGTTGATGTAAAGCTTATTGTACTTGACGGTATACTTCTCGCCACTCGCCCTGCCGAATTCAAAAAGCTTCTTGCGCACGCTTCTTGTTGCGCGGCAGAAATCCTCGCTGATTGACACACGAGACTCGCGAAAACTACTTCTAGACTGCAGTATGCTTTCTCGGAACTTAAAAGAAGCAAATTTTACGATCACTGGTCGAGATTTGCCAACTACGAATCTGCCTAGCCTGTGCGCGCGGGATATGCGGTCGTCGATACTTCCCAAGTTTAGCTTCAGAGTTTCATCAATACCAATATTTTATCTACCTGTAGCCTGTATAAAGCTCTGGCTTAGTAGTGTTAGTAATCATTTGGAAGGTGAATCCACTATTAGTCTTCCCTAGAGGCTAAAAGGCAATAGAATATATGACTTGTGGCAGAGCCAGTATAAAGCCATTGTCAATCTTCCTACTACTCAGTAGAGTCACTTTATTTGAGTCACAGAGGTGGCTTTGGGACGTTAAACCCCACATATCGATCAATCAATTTGATTCACAGTATGAGTTCTTCATAGATGAATTATTTATGGTGCTGGCATTAAAATTAACATAGGGGCTATATAAGCAGTACTTTAGTACACGGTGTGTTTTAGTTTTGACAACCGGCATTTATTAACATACTCACAGTGCTTGGTACATAAGTGCTTTTTTAATCTGTTATGCTTACATTCAAAAGCGACAGTGACAACAACGAACTGAATTCGCAAAATGGTGTTTGGCAGCAAGGTGCCATAATGATTGGGCCACCTAAGTGGACGCCTCACTGATGCATTGAGAATGACCACATGTATATGTCTACTCAAGTTTATATCAACAAATGGATTGATGGAGCTGTGATCTACCATATGCAGGAGACCCCATTGTTCAGTTTATGAACTCGTGCAAGCAAATCATCACCAAGGAGCGCTGGGCCATTCGGACAGGCCCAGAGGGTAGGTGCCACGTTCGGCGGCAGCTCCCATTGAGGCATGCTTGGGCCATGTCCATTCACAAGTCTCAGGGTCTGACACTTGACTTTGCCGAGCTGACGCTGGGTCGCGTCTTTGAGGCGGGTCAAGCGTACGTCGCTCTTTCGAGGGTGGCCACGCTTGAAGGGCTGAGAGTTCTAGACTTCAGGAAAGACTGTGTTCGGGCCGATCCTCGTGTGCTTTCCTTCTACCGAGAGCTTGGGGCCTGCTGACATGGGTGGTGGCGGGCTTTTGTCTTCGGTGGTGAAAATCTGTGTGGAATTGTGAAGGGGGGAGGGGAGCACTTGTGTGGTGGGCAAGTGCCTTTTTTGCACCGCCCCATCTCTCCAGACCGTGCCTGTTGATATTTTTTTTTACACATCCTCATAGCTTAGAAATGGTGTTAAGGTGATGTTAGCCAGCCATTGAACTGTGTGACCTCCACTGGAGGGCTTAGTGTTGACAGTAGGAAGCATTCAATAACTCTAATTTGTAGTGCACTATGCATGCTGTGTTCATATTCTGGACACGCTAACTCACTCATTATGGGTTTGTTTGCCATCTGTGTGTCACAAATATCATCGTAAATCATTAGTCCGACTCGCAGCATTGCATGTAGTGTACAGCCAAAGGAAGAAACAATTGCAACTAAAATTTCTTGCTGGGACGTAAACATGCAGGTGACACATATGTCTAGGTCATCTTATTTTCGTATAGGCTTGTGATGTAATAATATATGTCTCTCACAGTAGTAGCCCATTTTATCTCCACATTGCTTGCAACATGGTATCAAGACTTCCATCGCTTTGTAGTGTACTTTGTTTGTCGCTTAGGTTATTTATTATTATTCATGAAGAAATTGTTAGTATGCCTTGCTCCAAGATCTTGTCCATTTCAGTCCGAACGCCGACATTTTCACTGTGGGCGAAAATGTTTGAGGCCCTCAGGCTTACATTTAGGTGCATGTTGAGAAACCCTAGGTGGTCAAAATTTCTGGAGTGCTGTACTGCGGCATCACTCATAAACATATTGTGATTTTATGATGATAAATCTCGACAATGATTGCATTTATACTTACTTACAAAAGTTCCTGATATAACGATCTGTCGGTTATAACGATCACATTTCGTTCCACCAATGAATTTCCCACACTACTGTTGAAACTTCATCCACACATTTTTTCAAAGCCACTTACTTTGACCATGAGTGTTTCAGGTGCAGTCGCAGTAAAAATATGTCACAAAAGAAGCAAGAAAAGAGCTAGAACAGGCCTTTTGAAGCATGAGAGAGGTGATCGCGTGTACATGCCCTGCTGTAGTTTGCTCGTGACGAAGATATGTTAGATCAGGGTGCACCACTCAAAGATTTCTGGTGCTGTGGTTGATGTCGCCCACTTTCAGGTATTTTTTTTATTACATGTGGCAGAATGATCACGAGGAAGAAAGAAAATTGGCCTTGTATCTGCCCGTTTCACAGCAAGTGTCGTCGAAAGACGGTAGTCTTGCGTGTGGAGAGATTAAACAAAACGTTTATTTGATGTTCTGGGCGACAAAATTGGTGAATTGTATTCTGGAAGCGCTACGTTAGTCTCGATTCGTGCAGCGGAGGCGAACGAGCGCATCGAGGCACGTTAGTCACGAGCGCCGTCTGGTACTTATCTTTGAAAACGAAGGAAGGCGTGCGCGCCCACGGAGAAAGGATGCGCGCCTGTCTCGGTGGTGATAAGGTGTAGAACGCAAAGCGACGGGCAGGTGCTACCACCGCGTCGTCTTAGCAAAGCGTTGGAAACACTTGCCTTTTTGAGCATCGCGTTGCATGGTCAGCGCAGCAGGATAAACGCTACGGTCCTTGAATTACTTGTGTGCCATCTCTAGTATAAAGACACACATACAAAATATTCACATGTTGTTATGGTGCCTCATATATGCGCAATAATTGCTTTTTAATTGACAATCGCTCAAGTATAATTTGAGCAATATTGGTGGGCGCTGCGGATGGGGTTGGCCGTTTGGGGTATCGTTATGGCGGACAAAGAAGCAAATATACGGACAGACCGAAATCTTTGCGAAGTACCTCAAGAAAGACTATCGCCTTTAAAATATAGGTGGCAGCATGCTGCTTTCGCGCGCCAATGGAACTCTGTGTTCTGTGTAACCGTGACCGCCTAGGATGACCCAAACTATGCCCTGAACGCAAAAAGCGATAACCGTGACAACTTTTCGTCGCATGAAGGTTCGCTGCGCCCGTCACCTCGACGGTGCCACAATGTGCCTCAAAAGGTGTTCTCTCTTTTCGGTGATGGCCAAGAACGAGCGACGATTCTGACCAGGGTTGTGCCAGAACTTTTGGGGGGAGAAGGGGGAGAAGAGGGGGATCCAACTATACTTCATGTACATCGTGCATGCGTTTGCGTGTGTAGTACGTGTATATATACGCAAGCAAAATGAAAAAAAAAAACTTCGGAAACAGTTCTAACCTTTCCGAAGTTTTCGCTAGTGTTAAGCGTTGCGGGCCCGGAGGAACGTTGAGGGACAACCTAAAGACCAGACCACCTGTGCTCATTGCAGCGCGTGGCATTCTTGACGCGTTGATACGCGAAGCTGCGCACCTACTCTCTCGAGAGGGTGCGTGGATACGTAGCGTATCGTGCTTCACTATCGCAGTGCCACTTCATTTCAAAAGTGGTTTAATTCACTCGGGAGCGTTCGGTGGGTATCGCTTCATCTCGTGAAAAGGCATAACTTATCACTGGAGCAGTTAGCTCTTTTGAACAAAAATGTGCAGAAAATAATAATAAGAAAAACGGCCCTCTGGTTAAGTGCTCTTTCTTAAGGACTGATATAACGACCACTTGTCTGTTACATCAGTAGCCAAGGGTGTTATTCCACTGAGTTTCTACTCGGGAGCCGTCAGGCTTGCATTATTCTTTCACACAATTTGTAAAAAGCATCTTCGTCACCAGTGTGCGTAATGTTGAAGATTGAGCAAGCTTCTTCGCAATCAATAATTTGGGAGTAATCACAACGGCCAGTTCATAAGGCTGCATTACATTATCCTGTGAATAAATTTCCTGCTAATATCGAGAATCTCTTGTAACCGTGCAGTGAAAACAGAACGGGACAATACGAAACACGAAATCGCAAGTGATGACGAGCAACTGGTTTTATCTGTGCCAAACCGTGCCTATCTATGTGTAAATGTTCGCCCTATCGCAACACAGATTAAGAAGGCATGAATGGTCTCGGGTCACAGAGTGATTAACAGATGCAAGAACAAGTGTGTATGAACATTTCGTGCTTGTCAATAGGTGTTGTAACACCTATTGTTACACCTATGTTACAAAAGGTGTTGTAAACCTATTGTTAATGTAACAGATATCACCGACTTGTGTTCTTTTTTTGGCCCTACAGTGTTCATATCGGTGTAGTAAACTAAGAACCTTGTAGTTGGCAGGGTTAGTTCCTTATGCCTTTGAACATTTTCTTTGGAAGTGATCTCTGTGTGATCGTGAGCATGCAATGTAAAGAGAACGGCTGTGAAAACGTGGACATACATTGGACTTCGCGATATTACTTGAGTATGTGCAGGATAAAACATCAGTAAGTTGATCATGTCGTTATGCATCATTTTATTATTTCATGATCTGATTAAAAATGTATAGCCTTATGGTGACGAGAAGTTCCTTAACTCATGCTCCTTTTGTGATTCTTGATGAAGGGTATCAAGGTAAGATTTTTCTACTGTGTGATTTCAAAAAACTACTTCATTCTGAAATGATTGCTTTCAAATAAAATGTGTCACAATGCAGTTTCATGTGTTACTTTTTTGTTTCACTATTTTTGTGATGCTCAACAACTTAGAATTTCTGTTTTCTGCCTAGTGTGTAGAGGGTCCTAGTTAGGGATGGTTTTTCGTGGCTACACATATGAATAATGTAATCTCAACAGTTCATTTTATGTGCATTGAGTGACTGTCACTTGCTCGAGTATGACAATCTTCATAGTCTACAGTTCTTTGTTGTGACTAATCGTACTCACTGCAACTGGTGCAGCTCTCTCATGCTCTCTTGCTGCGCTACCATTGGCCAGATTCCACTGAGAACAGCTTTTAAAACGGGTTTATAAAAGAAAAGCATGTTTTGTGAGGCAGATTGCTCACCCTGAGGCAAATGTTCTCATTCCCTGCTTTCTCCCATATATCGGAATCAAGTGTGTGTCGTGTCCGTGTCAAAATTCCCACCAGCATTACTTTTCTAGTTCGATGACATGAGGAATGGACCAGTTATAGCAGAAAAAAAAAAAGTTACGTAAGCCCTGTAAGAATGAAAGGAGATTTTTTAAGGGGCGAAGCTCCTTAAGGCGTGGGTCTGTACATCCTCCGATGTATGTAGTAGTAGTAAGTAGCCACCGGTGGCACATACCCGCTCAAGAGCGGGTATGTGCCACAGGGGATGCGAGATGGCGGTACTTGGAGTGTTGACTAGACGGACGCACGGGCGGACGGATGGGCAATCATACGGACGGACGGACGGATGGATGGACTCGCGGACTGATGCATGGATTGTCGCGTGGATGGATGGAAGCAAGGACGGACGGACGGAAGCACGGACGGACTGACGGACGCTTCAGCCCACTCATCATCATTCACACCGTGGATATGTTGTGATTTTTCTTTTTCAGGGAAAACCCAATAAACGCAACAAACGATTATGCCAGGGAGCCCTGGAATTATTTTGCGAAAGTGATGAGTGACGTAAAGGGAAAGAGGTAGTTTTTTCAGGCCATTACAGGGAGTGGGTCGAAGGGTACACGCTGTAGTAACACAGTAAATTAAACCAGACAGTATTAATGACAACCAAAACAACGAACAATATGTGTAAGCCTCGTGATCAAAAGATAATAGGAATACAATGTACATTAAGTCAAAATAGAGATTACTAAAGACAGCAACAACAACAATGCGTATGCCTCGTAATGAAGGGAGAAAAAGAAAGAAAAAGAAGTCACTATACGCTACAGTATACGGGAGTACTCTTGTACCATTTCCACGAAACTCTCTACGCTATCCACAACTGTTTCCCGGAGCAACGCGTTCCATATTTCATTGGAAGCCGAAAAATAAAAAAATGAAAATTCGAACGTGCTGCAGCGTGTGATGTACTGCCTGATGTGCTTATCATGACACTACATACGAGAATGGCGATGCGGTGGTTTCAAGTGCTCGTGTTTATCCGCGTTTATGCGATCACTATCAAGCAAGAAAAGAAATTCCGTCTCTGCCGCCCGCCGCCATGTCATGGTGTAAAGCATGTGATGGCACGCGGTAGTTCCTAAGGTAACGTTGTACTCGTTCCGGGTGGCGTGCTCTTATAATCATGCCACTCGCTATAGAAAATACTGCGGAAAAGTCCCCCTCCTTTACGAAAAGCCACGAATTTGGGAGTGAAAGCCACCTTCTTGGGGCGTTTTGTGTTGTCCTGTACCATGTGTTACGGCTATTTTTGTTCGATATAACGTTAGATTTTCCTACGCATGGACGTTAAAAAATAGCTATTTTCGAAAATATTTCGATATATAGGGTGGCTTGTTTTAGTCAACGTCAATATAGGGGTTCACAGTTGTAGGGGTTGTTCGCAGTTATGAGCCACAGAAAGTGGACAAACTCGACTCACCTCCAGTCAACAAATACAAATAACTGTTTAGATCCAATTAAGGCTTGCTCGTATGTCGGGCTACTTCTTGCGTGACAAATTTCTGGGACGAAATAGTCAAGGACAGGCGCAGCTCCCTGTTTCTTCCTTTGCAAAAGAAACTTTTTGAGCAAGTAATAGCAGAGCATTAATACATGCTTCCGGCGCCCGACGAGTAAGCACAGCGGCGTGTGAATATTTTAGGCGCTATTTACATCTATACCATATTTTCTCGCGCCTAACCCGATCCTGCTCATAAACCCGCACTTACATAGCACGATAAACTACAAAAAAAAAAGAGGTCAACGTTTTGCCGTAAATAAGGCTTACTCGTTTCTTCCCTTTCCATAAAGCCAACTTGCGCGTATGAAAAAAAAAATGTAAATCGAATCATCTGATATTCCGACTTTATTCCGTTTTTTTTTTTTTTGGAGGGGGGGGGGGGGGTCTGACTGGGTTAACTCGCTTTTTTTTGTGCACGATGCACAAAACATGCGAGCTAGACAAAGCGCACATAGCGAGCGAAGGCCACCGAGACATGTCACGCCGACCAACCACCACGCGAAAACGTTCCTTGTTTACGCCACCAAGGCTGAGCTGCTGACTGAGTCAGGGCGTCAGCGGAGTGGCAGACGCATGGGTGCAGCATGGGCCGACGCGTCGGTGTCCTTCTCGGGTGGCGCCGTCACCCCCGGAAAATGAAAAGCTTCCGGGGGTGACGGTGGCGCGCGCGCAGAGAAACAAGCGGGGGCATGGCCTCCGAAGTGGTAAGCACATCGCGCGTCTACCATCTCGGAGGTCATGGCAGCAGTGCGAAAGGACGAAGCGCAGCCGCATGGTTGCCGATAGTTGTAGCGCGAGAACAAAACGACGACACAGAGACAAGAAGGACACGAACTTGTCTCTGTGTCGTCGTTTTGTTCTCGCGCTATAACTATCGTCAAGCCATACCAACTAGCCCAAGCTGCCACGCTTCTAAGCGACGCACGGTTGCGTTTCTGTGCAACTTTGTAGTACTTAACTCTACGGCTAGGTGGCATGAGCCGCCGCCCAATCTAAAGGGCTCAGTAGGTGTTCTGTTTCACAGTTAGATACATCGTTTCATCCATCCATCCATCTATTCGTAGTTTGCAGTTTCGGGCTCTCCACACTTTCCGTTCTCGCGCTTTTCCATAGGTGTTCCCTGTTTTTACTACGTTTCCCACAGTCGAATTGCCTGCTCTGCGGTGGTATCCTGGTCTGGGATAGCCGAGAGATGTGAAGAGACTATGGTAAGTGTCCTTCTGTCCATAGATGTAGTCTTTTCTTTCATGCGATGTTCGGTGCGATTATGGCGGGAAGATCAAGCAACAAATTTGGCGGATAAGTAAACGGTGCACGAAAGAAATGCTAGCTGCGCTGTCAGGCTTTCAAGAAAAGGATTCGAGCATGTCTTCAGAAGGCTGCCAGCCTCAAGAGTTAGTGGCACATTCACTATAGCTGCATCGACGAAAATGTAGGAATGACGACGTCGGAGGGGCGGCTTCAGAACAAGGGGTGTCTGCACTTCGCGACAACTTCGCCCGAATTGCGTGTCGGAAGAATGCAGCATTTCATGTGATCGCGACAGAAAAGGAGAATGAATTGCAGGAGAGGTGGGGGGAACGAGGATGTCGTAATGTATGCGCAACTGGTTGCAGTCGCAATAATAAGTTGTTGAATGTGTTAAGCGGTCACGTATGTTTTGCTTCTTTTCCTCGTTCAACGAAAGCGTATTGCTAGAGCCTCCGATGTACTCGCCGTGAATCGGGTGCATTGGTGCTGAAAAGTATTGCCACGGAGGCATCTTAACAGGCGTTCTGTGAAACGCACTGTGAAAATAGTCACTGGTGTACCCGAAGATTTTGCTTCTCCATTGAAGCCCACCAACATTAACGTTGGTGGGCTTCCGTTTGCGAAAAGCACCAAATAACATCGCGATTGGTGCCTCTAATGGCGAGATGGGAACTACACCTCAGCCACGGTGCCATTCTTGTTCGATTGAATGATTTGTGACGCACCAGCACATGCATTTGCGCTTAGCATAGGAAGCTATGCTAGATACTGTAGCTGTATGAATTGTACGGTAAAGGGAGTATATAAGGAAGGCAGAATGCAGTGTAGCCAGACTCTTTTTTCGGAGGGTGGGGGTGGAGGGTCAACAATACTCTGTGTGTTCGTGTAAGCGTTTGTATATGAGCGTGTGTGAACCCCCGGCGACGCCGATGGTAGGCTGTGATACAGGCTATCAATTTTTGTTAAATACTAGTAGACCTAATTTGCTTAGTTTAAGATGTATTAAGCAGTTATATGCTTTGTTTAAAGTCTTTAGTGATTTCTAGGAGTATTTTTCTAAAGCATTGCCGAAATGAACTCGGTAGAATATTATGTTTTAAGTATGTTATGATTTCTTTGTTAATTATGTGTTCGAGTACTTAACAACAGCAACGTGTTTGTGATATCTTGCGGTATTTACCAGTGTCCTTTCCTCATTTTTGTGAGGGTGGGTAACCTTTGCGCTTAATCGTCAGTTCTAAAGGCATTAAGACAAAAAAAAAAACGGCACATAACAAGGTAGCAGACATTTCCAGAACTTTAACGCGATAAACATGTCTTTCCTCATCAACTTAGCGACAGGTGATATTTCTCAACCCTGTAGGACTGCTTTCACAGGTCAAGACAATCTCTTCAAGCAAAAAAAAAAAAAGAGTCCAGGAGGCGTAATGAAACCAAATCACAGCCGAATAGAATGGTCGTCTTACTGTACATGGCACTAGATTGAGATTAGTGAATTAATGCTGGTTTTGCTACGATTAATTTTTTTCGAAGATCACTCCATGCCTTTTCATTGGATGCACAAGAGTGTCTCGGGAAAAAAAATCAATCCGGTAAATTAGAACTATACGTACAATTTCAAAAAAAAAAATGAAGCGGTGCTCAGTAATCATTTTCTAAAGAACGCTGCCCACATGTTTGAGCCGAACGCTTCCTCTTGGGGTTGACTTTGCCGCAGTGGTTGATGTCCCGGATTGCTTGGCATGCTCGGAAACCGCCTCTGCTCGTTGTCCTGGTCGTACTCGAAGTTGTCTTCCCGCGGAGGCCTGGCGTTCTCCCTCGACATTGTTGGCCTTCCGTGTTCCCTCGGACCGGCTCTCGGCCAGCTGGTGGAACCGGACATTCGGGGCTCCGTATCAGGCCTTCCGTACGTCTCCGAAAAACGTTCCGCGTTAAAAGCGCTGGCCATGCCAGACATTGGCGCCACGCTTGGTGGCATCCCGAATCCGCCGTAGGCGCCTGGCATCGGCATGTCGAAACCAAACGCCGTCATCATTGACGGTGGGCCCCCGAAGCCCGTGGCGGTGCCGCCATACCCTCCGGCGGAATCCGGTCCCGCGATAAAGCTGGTTATTTGCTCAATCTGCTCGCTTATTTGATCTATCTGGCTTTCCATGTCGAGCAGCTTCCGAAGTTCGGGTCCGATCTCGGCCATCCTCGGTGCACCTGGTTGACCTGCTGGTGAAGGAACGGCAGGTACACTTGGGTGACGTGGTGGCAGAGGAGCAGGAGGCACTCCTGGCTGACTTGGTGGCGACGCAGGAGGCGCGGTGCCAGCGCCACGAGGAAGCGTATGGCTAGCACTCGCGCCTTCATAGGGAGCGGCTCCAGGGAGCACGCCCGCGGGAGGAGGTGGTGGTCCGGCTACCGCGCCGGGCATCTGCCCGGCTGTCTTCTCGGTGTACTGCCCTGGCGCCGCAGGAACTTGAGGTGCGGGAGGTGATGAAATAGCAGCTGCCGGTTGTGCAATAGCTGGAAGTGATGGCGCTACTGCCCGGGGTTGTGGTGCGGCAGGGAACGGCGATGGTTCACCTAGCGGCGTTGATGCGGCAGGCGATGGTGCTTCTTGATAGCCTGGTGGTGCGGGATAGTTCGACGGAGTTTCGGGATGCGAAGGCGCACCTGGGTGACCTGGTGGAGCAGCCGGAGGTGCTCGTGGGGTACCTGGTGACGGAGGAGCAGGAGGTGCAACTATGTGACCACGTGGTAAAGGAGCAAGATGTGCATCTAGGTGACTACGTGGTATAGGAGCAGGAGGTGCACCTACCTGGTGGTGGTAAAGCAACCGTAGGCGCATCTGGGTATCCTCGCGGCAAAGGAGCAGCAGGCACTCCTGGGTGACCTGCGGATGGAACAGGTGGCACGGTGCCAGTGGCGTGAGGAAGCGCTTGGCTAGAACTCGCGCCTTCAGCGGGAGCGGCTCCAGGGTGCTCGCCAGCGGAGGGAGCTGCTCCGGGTTGTAGTCCAGCGAAGGGAGGTGGCGGGGCGGCCATCTCTATTGATGCGGCCTGGTCGGAAGAGAGGAGGTTGGTTTTGTGGGTTTATGATAACAGGGCTTGTGACGAGCTCAAGTCGTTTCTGCTACTCCTTCGTGGAACCTAAGGATTGTTGCACCGGCACAGCTAGAATATCGAATTTAAGATCGATTCAACGGAGAAGTTTAGCAGAGAAATAAAAGCCGGGAATATACAAGTGGTAGTATCATTAGGAACGCGTCTGTGATCTCTGGGTTACAACTACGTAGCTCTCTTCATCTTTGGAGATCCATATTGAGGCTATTGACGTTACGGGAGATTATCTAGAGCTGCGTGCAGCGTGTTTGGTTGATCTCTGGAGATCAACCTAATAAAACTTGTGCTCTGCATTCATCGCATGCGATCTTCCAAACGGTGGCGAAAGAACCCGTGGAACTTAGCCCTGGCCACTCGCCGAAGTTTAGGAAAAGCGTGGCTTAGGCAGAGGGTAGCCTATAACCACCCACAGGTTTGCCGATACAAATGCGCCACTTTAGTTTTCGCACATGTGATGCACTAAGGGCCAGCCCCGCCGCGGTGGTCTAGTGACTAAGGTACTCGGCTGCTGACTCGCAGGTCGCGGGTTCGAATCCCGGCTGCGGCGGCTGCATTTCCGATGGAGGCGGAAATGTTGTAGGCCCGTGTATTCAGATTTGGGTGCACGTTAAAGAACCCCAGGTGGTCGAAATTTCCGGAGCCCTCCACTACGGCGTCTCTCATAATCATATGGTGGTTTTGGGACGTTAAACCCCACAAATCTAATCTGCACTAAGGGCCAGTAAATAAACTCTAGATCCAAAAATAATTATAAAGAAAAATATGTGCACGTTTGCTTTGTGAACATGCTGCCACAAGAAGCTCGCGAATACGTGCTATATTAAGGGTGTTGCAATGGTTAGAACATTGGTTTAACCTGCTTTCAAATTTTCGCGTGTCCTCACCATGCACCATTCTCCCTCACAGGGAGGGGAAGGTGTAGCCCGTCGCCGTGACTGGTTTAGACCAATCGACTAAGCGCGTGCTACGTCAATTCACCGATCGGCGACATAGCGTCACTACGCGTGAAAGGGGGATCGCTCAGGCCCAGGAAAGGAGCACGGGAATTGTTTTTCGAAAAGCCGCGCCTATAGTGCCGGCAGCCGGCATATTATCTCGGGAAAAAGTTGCCGGCAGTTTTCCCCTATTGGCTGCCCATGACCATGCGACTTATCTGCCGCCAATTTCTGGTGGGTCTGTCGCGCCGGCGATACATGTGCCGACAGAATATGGACTGCATGTGCAGTGCCGATAGCTGGCATAATACACCAGAAACCAGCGACTTGTTAGTGCCTTGCTGTATTTTTTTTTTTTGCTCTTAAGCCGCCGCCTGTTGCAAAAAAAAAAAAAAAAAGTCGCAACCTGTTGACTGGCCCTTTAAAGGGACTCTGAAACACTTTTCTGAGTAACCATAGAATTAATTCACTGAAAAAGCGTATCATTTCACAAATGGGACTCTGAAACACTTTTTTAAGTAACCATAGAATTAATTCACAAGGTGCGATTTAAGTCACATGCTGTGGCAGTGTCCCGCGCTAAACGTTAGCTTCGGGTCCCCTGCCACCGAGGACGACTGGATCAACCACCTCAGGAGCCCCGACAGGGCCCTTCAACACCAGGACGTCCAGAAGGCCCAAAAGGTGGCTGGCGAGTTCCGACTCCCAGTCCCCACATGGGCGGAGCCACCGGGCTGGACCCCGTAAGGGGTGCCCAGTCTCCTTCAGGACCTTTGATATTGTTATTCTCTCTGTCACTGGAAAAGCCTATCATTTCACGAATTCAACGCCGCAAAAATTTTATGAATCCGTTCAGTACGAGCGGAGTTACAAAGATTTGTCACACGCTGCAATCGCATTCTCTCTTCTCTCGTCCCGACGAAAGCGCTAGAAGCCAAGCAGGGAGGGATGGGAGAGACGAACAACAACAACAACAACAACAACAACAACAACAACAACAACAACAACAACAACAACAACAACAACAACAACAACAACAACAACAACAACAACAACAACAACAACAACAACAACAACAACAACAACAACAACAACAACAACAAAAACGTCACTCGCGCCTCGTGACTTTGAGCACTTTTTTTCTTTGAATACGCGGCTTTTTCTGTGCAATCGCGCGTGCACGCGTGGACAAGTGACGGCCTCTCGCGGTGACTTCTGTAACAACTGAGCGCGCCTTGTTCAAATCAGCCAATGGCTGATAGATGGGCTTATTACGAGTGATTTTCGGGTTTATTCCGCGATTTGTTTAGAGAAGATAAAGCTATTTTTAGTTGACTTTGATAATTTATTGTGAATTCCAGGCCGCGTGCTGCACTATAATACTTTGCCCGCGTGCTGTCGGGAGCCTCTACTACCGATCGGCACCGTTTTCTGACCATGCTCAAAAAGTGTTGCAGGCCCCCTTCAAAGATTGGCTGCTCACATAAATTTAATGAATCGGATCAAGGCCCTTTAAATCAAGTCGAGAAAGATAACACATTCTAAAGTAGTCCGAAGCATATGGAGGCGGAAATAGATGAAAGGGGACCCAATCGAGCGTCTGTGTGCGGCCCCGTCGCTTTGTTCCGTCCACACAAGTCTGCGTTAAACTCTTAGGGTCAGACGCGAGACCATGATGAAGGGAAGACGACTCACTCAGGCGTCCGGCGATTTGTGGAGGCCCTTCTCGGCGTCCGGGTCCAGGGGCGACAGCTGCGGCCGCCGCCTCCCACGGGTCAGCTCGGGACACCGGCGGAGACGAATTGAAGGCCCGCCCTGTCGCTACCCGAAGAAGAGAACGCGCGTCGCGCGAGCAACATGCACGAGCTTTGTTTGTAGCTTGGAGATTGTGGCACATGCCCACTGTGAGTGATGGAATGGAATGGGAAAACTTCATTTGTTTAGATGAGTTATTCAGGGGCGAAGCTCTTATAGCGGGGCCAATTCGTCCCTCGTAGCCGTTGTAGTAGTGTACAAATATAAAATTTTGACCCCCAAAGTGGTGCCGGTGAGAGATTTCTTCTGTGCGTTGTTGAACAATAAAAGATAGTGCTCAATGTACATGCCAATGGCTGATAAGGGGGAATGAGAGACGGGAGAATTCGGCTTTTAGTTAACGCGCACGCTGCGAATTTTTTATTGTTCAACAACGCACAGAACACAAGAAAGGGTTGCTACGTTATACTCGCTGGGCGTAACCTCCTAGGTTTTAGAAAGGTTTAGCGAGCGTTGGGCCGCAGTGCCATGAATGCAGTGAACTAGTATATACCATGAACTCAAGGTGGTTGAAAGTGGGAAGTAGGCCCGAAGCGCAAGCCTTAAGAAAGTGTGCGTATGCCACCTCTCTTTTAGTCCTTGGAATGTCCGCTGGATGGCGGTGCTTCTATATGGGGAATATATGATGAAAAGATGCGAGATGGTGGTACTTGGAGTGTTGAATAGATGGACCAACGGACACACAGACAGATGCACGGATGGACGCATGTACGGACGCAGGGGCGAATGCATGGACGAACGCAGGGACGGGCGCACGAACAGACGCACGCACGGACGGGTGGATGGACGCATGGACGGTCACACAGACGGACGCATGGACGGACGGAAGCAAGAACGAATGGACGGACGAATGCTTCGCCCCACTCTCCATCATTCACTCCGTGGATATGCTCCCATTTTTTTTTGTCCTGCAGGACACGTTTAGCGCGTATACCGGGCGTTCCCCACGTATAGGGACCGACAGGGAGTACCAGGCGGCCGCTTCGTGGGCCTGCTGGATGGCTCATTGCTGGTCGGCCCCACTATGGGGCAGGCAAGAAAATGTATAATATACTATGAATGGTATGAATAATACTGTGAATGGTAGCTGCACTATGGCTTAGCAACAAAAAATATCCAAAAGAGAAGAAAAAATGAAACATTTCAGAAATAATAATTCAAAACCTCGATATGATCATGAGATGCCATCATGGAGGGCTCCGGAAATATCGTCCAACTGGGGTTCTTTAACGTGCGCACAGACCTGGGCACACGGGCCTACAGCATTTGCAGCTCCATCGAAAATGCAGCCGCCGCAGCCGGGATTCGATCTCGCGACCTTATAAGGTTAGCAGTCGAGTGCCACAAGCACCGCGTCGAGGCAACATTAAAGAAAATAAAGAAAAAAGAACAACAAAGCGAGAGATAAAATAGAGGAAATAAGCGAATGGGCACCTAAATGTAAGCACACGAGTCTCAAAACTTTTCGCCTCCACCGAAAGTCCGGCTGCCGCAGTCGGGCTTCGATCTCGAGACCGGGACAAACGAACCAGATAGATTAGATGATAAAATGGTGCATG